GTTTTTAATGTATAGATGAAGTTTATAAATTAAAAAAATAAAGATTATTTGATATTTCGATTCAAATCAATATATAAAATAATTTTATAATTATATATCAATTTAAATTAATGAAATGAAATATTTTTTATTTTATTTTTAATAATTATAGATAATTTTTAACAAATTATTTTGCTTTTTTTTCTTTTTAACGGTGGCACGTAATATTTTTTTTTTTTCACCAATACTACTGTAACTATGTTATTATTAAGACATTTCTCCGAACATATATAATGATGTAATGATGACTCTGCTGCTAGTCACGTAGTATCTTGCCGATTATGTACAGAAGATGCACTTCCCATCTTTCGATTGAGAACTTAGGTGAAATAAGCAAATCATGTCGCTTCTGATTTTGATTATGCCTCTACCCGTGGTTACTATTGTCGTCGACTTCCTCAATTTTCCAATATTCATTAATTGTCCATTTGAATTTGATTAGGTAAAAATTCAGGATTGCCACATGATTTTGTGCATTGCATGTTAATTACGTGTGGTTTTTTCTTTAACCCCAAAAGAGAAGAAGATACGTGTGGCTGTTATTAAATGTGTGTGGTAGGTGGAACAGAATTCAATACCGGAGACATCTTTTTTGAGAATAAATACCGTACATTTATAATCTATCATTTTCTAAGAGTAAATGTAATGGGATTGCTTATAAGCAATTCCATATGCTATACACTGTTATATCAATTTTAACTTATTTTATGGGTTGTTTAAATTTTAGTAAAGTTACTTTTACAAGTAATTTTACTAAAATTTAAGCAATCTATAAAATGGACCAAAACTGATGTAGTAGTGATGTGACATAGGAGTTGCTTATAAGTAATTTCTATTGTAGATGCTCTAAAGCATCAGGATTAGTCTTATGTTTAATCCTTATTGTGCGGTAGGTGAAACAGATTTCGAAATAAATACGTAGATATTTTTTTTAAGAATAAATATTATAGATTTATACTTTATTATTTTTTATAATCATTAAAATTAGTCTAGAGGTTAAATAATTAGAAATATAAGACTTAAGTTCAATCTTTATCACAATCATTTTTGTAATCTTTCATGTCTTTATTAAAAAAATTATTTTATCACTTTCTATTTTTGTAATTTCCCAAATTTATAATTTTGGTCTTGAATTTTTATTATGACTTTTTAATAATTAAGCAATATCTGTATACATCTAACATATTATTTAAAATTAAATAGAAAATTCTAACAAGTGTTCATTAATGATATTATTCACAAATAGTTAATTAGTAAAAAGATATTAAAAATAAAATAATTAATTAATAGATTATAAATTTTAATTAAAATAAATAAGAAACATATTACATCTGTAAAAAAAATGTTAGTTCCTTAGATAGAGGTCGTGTAACCAATAAATATCAATTAATATCACTTATAATCACGTCGATATATATATATTTTTTTTATAATTTTGAATGATCTATTAATAGTGGATCAACATTGTTTAATTTTAAAAATTAGAACACCAGATTTATAATAAAAAAATCAAGAGACTAAACTTCACATTCGCAAAATTATTGGTATCAAAATTGAATTTAAATAAATGATTGTTTTAATTATTAAATATAGTTGTTCGAGTGAGGAATTTATCAGAATATATATATATATATATGAGGAGGGTTCAAACGACACTGCTGTAATTTTTATTAACTATTACACCGTTTAATAACTTTATATTAAATGTGAATTTTGAAAATCCAACCGTTAGATTGAAAGTTCATATCTCTTAGATCATATATGTCAAATTTTGTTAAAATTGAACAACAACTTGAAGGTAATCAAAATGTTCATATTTTAGTATATTTTGAAATGTATATATTATGTCAATTTTGTTTTATGAGAATGAAGTATCAAATCATCTTAGATTAATATAAAATTTGATATATATGATCTAAGAGATATGAACTTTCAATCTAACGGTTGGATTTTCAAAATTCACATTTAATATAAAGTTATTAAGCGGTGTAACAATTAGTAAAAGTTACACGAGTATTGTGTGAACCCTCCTCTATATATATATATATATATATATATATATTAAAGTAACTAATTTTATTTTATTATTCAAATAAAATAATTTCCTATTGTTTTTCCAAAGTCAATCTTTTTTTTTTTCGCAAACTATATACTACCAAAATTAAAAATACACAGACACCGAATATACGGTATTTATTTATTTATTTCACGATGGACTGCCTCTTTGATAGTTGTTTTATATATATACTAGAAAATATATATAATGGAAATATCATTTTTAATATGAGTATGAAAATTCTGAAGTGTGTAAAGTCATCAAGTGAGAAGTTATTTTTTCATCATTGATTGTATGTTTAGTATGGTAATTACTATTGATTAAAAATATTTAAAATGGAAGAATATGAAATTAAAATGAGAATTGATTAGAACATAAAAAGTTTTTCTTTCTCGGTAAACGTTGAAACAAAAGAAGGAGAAAAACCTAAACAAAGGCTGATGATGTGTTTGGATGAGAAATTCATATATGGTAATTCAAATTCATTTATTTGAAGAATTTCAAATTTCTTGAGGTGAAATGCTTTGTTTGGACGAGGAATTTACAAAGAATTTGAAATTCAAACATTTGTGAAATTCCTTCAAATAGTAGAATTTCAAATTCTCCCAAAAATGGGAGAATTTGAAATTCCTCATATTTGTTTTCTTATTTCACCTATATATTTTTATCTTATCTCTTCATTCTTTTAATTATTGGATATTCAAAAATATTTTTAAAATTATTAAATATTATCTTATATTAATTTTTAAAATTATTAAAATTATCATATTCAACCTAATAATTTAAAATTTAAGAAATTTGAATTGACTCATCCAAACAAAATATTTTAAGAATGATAGAAATTGAAATCAAAGTAATTCAAATACCATGAATTTAAAATTCCTTGAATTCGTAAAATTCCTCATCCAAACACACCATGAAGGTTATACTAGATTGGGATTTTGAAAAGACAATTTTAGCTTTTTTTGTTGTTGTAAATTTTAATGAATTTTAAAATGCTTTATAGAGATGTTATGATTTTTAGAATTTTTTTAAAAGATTTTTAAATTTTGATTTTCAATCAGGACTTTGTAATTCATATTTTAATGGATTTATATTATAAGATTTTCAAGAATTTTATGAATTTTACAAGAAAATATGGATTTGAAATACTACAAGATTTAATAATAAAAAAATAACACAAATAATAAAAAAATAAAATTAACACAATTTTTCTATTTTTTGACAAATAATTGTCTTTATTTTTTGGGAAATAACTCATTTTAATATCCTCTTACCTAACATTTATTCACATATATAAAGTTATATTAATCCTTTATGTATTGATATTTTTTCTTTCATGAGTTTGAAACTGAACAATATGTTTCAAGTTATAGTTTTATTAACTGATAACATTGAAGATGAAGATTTTTTCACTAATTCAATTGAAAATTTATTAAAATAATATTCTTTGTGAATAAAGTCATGTAATGTCACATGCTAATATAAATTCAGCTTGTGTCTTAAATACTTTCTTTTTATTGAGGATTAATAAATATTTTAATTTTAATTTTTATTAAAAATAAATAATTTAATTTTAATAATTTAATTTTTTTAAATAGATAATATTTAATAATATAAAAATCGTTTTAAATAATTATTTAAAAATATATAAACACTTTTTTCGAGTAGAAATTTGAACCTACATCTATTACCTTATAAAAAAACTGGTCTCTTTCATAAAGTTTAAGAATTTTTCCAATAAAAAAATACTCTTTATTTTCTAAAAACTCTTTTAAAAATGTATCCATACATGTTCTAACTTATATATATAGAGAGTATATAAAATATTAAATATATAATTTAAATTATATATACGTAGAAGATTCTTATTTATTCTTTATGTATAAAAAATTATTAAATTAGTTCTTATATGTATAAATATTTATCGATTTAGTTCTTTAATCTTTTACACACTTTTAGTTTTTTTTTTTTTTTTTGAAAGGACACATTTTCTAATTTAATCTTATACATGTAGGATATTTTAACTTGATCCTTGTATACAAGAGTTAAATTGAGAATGTACAATATAATAGGATTAAATTAAGAATACATTACATGTATAAAAGTTAATTAAATTAAGATTACGTAAGAGTTAATAATCATTATATGACAATAAAGACAAAACTAAACCGTTATTATTAAATTAATAATTTTTATGTATAGGAACAAATCACGAGCCTAAACCGTTAACAAAACTGAGCATCCCATCAGGACTTTGATTTTTATCAAGTGTGCATAAGATACCAAAAATATCATCTTGTTCATTTCATAATAAAATCTGACATGCACTAATGGTCAAGATTTATTGCTATTAATTATTAAATGGTTATCAAGATCATTTTAAAAAATAGAATAAAATCATATTTATAGAAATTAAAAATATATTTAAATATTTTTCATTTGTATACATAACAAGTGAAAACAATTCTTCTAAAGTGATTTTTTAAAAAAAAAAAAGGTAAATTTGTATTTAAAATATATTTATTTTTAAAATGAAAGTGAAATAATATTCTTAAATCTCAATAAATTAATATTGAAGTTTAATTTTCATGCATTGTTAGTATAACTTTTTTACATTATCAATAAAAAAACCAAACTAAATATAAATATAAAAATAATCATTATAAAAGTAAACAAATGTATTAATTATACATGACAATGCATGATTTGGTGTTAATTTCATAGATCAACTTCAATTCAAAGACTCCTTTCACATATAAAAAGCTAAGTTGACAATAACCCACAACTAACACACATTCAATACTTTGGTACCAAATATGTCAACTACACACAATTTGCAATATGTCAACTACACACAATTTGCAATGATGCATCCTCTCAAATTTTTAATACATGTTTTATATTCAATACCCTATTACGTTGGTACCAAATATTCCAACTAACACAATTAGCAATGATGCATCCTTTCCAATTTTCAGTGCATGGCTATAAAAATCAATTGGTAGTAACCTCCAAAATTATGTTGAATCCACACATTTCTATTTTCATCTCCTAATTAATCAACAACCAAGATGATTGTTCAGTCCCTCTTATTAGTTCTCATTGTCTTCTTTTCTATTTTCCTTGTCAAATTCTTTGACAGAAAAACCAAACCAAGAGCCCACTTGAAGTACCCTCCAAGCCCACCACCAGCAATACCCATAATTGGCCACCTTCATTTGCTTAAACCCCTAGTTCATCAAGCCTTCCGAGACCTCTCCCTCCAATATGGACCTCTTTTGTGCCTTCGACTTGGTTTTGTTAAATTTGTGGTCGTCAGCACTCCATCACTTGCGAAAGAGTTTCTCAAAACTAACGAGCTTATATACTCTTCACGTAAGATGAACATGGCCATCAACATGGTTACCTACCAAAACGCCACTTTTGCTTTTGCCCCTTACGACACTTACTGGAAATTCATGAAAAGGCTTAGCACCACTGAGCTTTTAGGGAACAAAACTATTGGACAGTTCCAACCTATTCGGACACGGGAACTTCATGAATTTATTCAAATTCTATTCGACAAATCGAAGGCCCAAGAGAGCGTGAACCTCACTGAAGCACTTTTGAGGCTTTCCAACAACATAATATCGCAGATGATGTTGGGCATCAAAAGTTCAGGAACAGAAAGCCAGGCAGAACAAGCAAGGGCTTTGGTGCGTGAAGTGACACAGATTTTCGGGGAATTTAACGTGTCGGATTTCATAGGTTTCTTGGAGAACTTTGACGTGCATGGTTTCAAGAAGAGGGCAATGGACATACATAGAAGGTACGATGCGCTGCTAGAGAAGATAATCTCTGATCGCGAGGAATTGAGAAGGAAATCAAAGGTAGAAGGCTGTGAAGATGGAAATGACAAAGTGATGGATTTTCTTGACATTTTGTTGGATGTAGCTGAGCAGAAAGATTGCGAGGTCGAGTTAACTCGGAACCATATCAAATCATTGATCTTGGTACGTAGGTTTTCTCCTTCTCATGCTTTACAAATGAATTACTAATATAATAGATAATAATACGAAATCTCCCTTCATGCATGTAATATTCAACTATTTTCAAATCAATAGCATGTGCATGTTTGGAAACTCCTCAAAACAATAAATAATCACATCAATTTAGTCTAAGCTATTATATAGCTAATAGCTCATGGTTAATGCGAAAATTCACATTAGCAACAAAATCACAAGCCACTCGGAACCAAACATGTTGGGCATAATAATCATAATAAGGATTACGTATATGATCTATCCTTCTAGCGTAAGCATGGCATGACCTCAATCCGATTTTGAAAAAAAAATTACTTTAATTGAGTAGGGATATGAGTATAGATTTTCCTTGGGTATGTAACTCTCTATCTTGTCCTTGTATCTGTCTTGTTACATTTTTTTATAGCAATATATATATATATATATATATATATATCAAATTAAAATAAAATATCAATACAATTAAAAACATGATTTTCTTCAAATAATAATTATAACATAATATCATAATTAATAATATTATACAAAATAATTTTCATAAATGATGATTATTATAAAACTAATTAAGTAATTTAAATTATAATAATAATTAAATAACAAACTTAAAATTCTACATTTAATTAAAAATGTAATTTAATTCTTAATTTTTTATTTATTATTATTTTATATATTATTTATATTATAATATAATTATTAACTTATAATTTAGTTTATTTAAAATGTATAAATAAATTAAAATTATATAAAAGAAAATGTGATCAATTAATTCAATAAAATTTAATGTGGATGAAGATGGATTTTTAAAATATAAATATCGTTTTAAATTAAAATTCCAACTCACCCCATCTTTTACATAGGCGATAACGGAAAGAACAAAATATGTCTTCGACTGGTGCCATCATCCCAATCATAAAGAACAAAATATGTCTTCGACTGGTGCCACCATCCCAATCATACGATTCATACCAACCATATTTGTTAAATAGTTAATCGGGCATTGTTAGAGAGGGAGTAATTGACTAAGTAATATATGCACGTATAGTGTCGCCTCCTACACCCACTTATGCGCGCTTATTTAACATTATCATCCAATATATTTGAAGTAGTTTTGGAGTGACTAAAAGTTAGTTTGAAATGCTGTAAAAAAAAGTTTGAAATAAATAAAAAAGAAGAATGATGTAGGTAATAAATTATAGGATTTCACTTCTCTAAAGTGAAAAATATACTTTAAAGAATAAAGAATAATAATAATTATTGATTAAAAGATCAACAATAGATAATTATGATAAAATCAAATATAAATATAATAAATTTAAAATTAATTATAATCAAATTAATATTTATTGCTAATTTTTTAATTAATTATATTTATTTTCTAAAATAAAATTAGAGAAGTCAAATCCTAAATTATTGATAAGATTTCGATTTAATTAAAACTCATTTGCATAAAAATTGATCAAAGAATCAAAAGTTTGTCAAAAAAAAATTTGGTTTACAATGGACCACTAAAAAAATACTAATACAATGTTATTTTTTATTTATCATTTTTTATTTTAGATATAAACTTATTATTATGATATATTTGATTTAAACTTTTATGTGTATATTAAATGTTTAAAACTTATAATATTTTTTTTATTTTTAATGCTATAAATTTTTGGTTTTTTTTCTTTTATATTATTTTATATCTTTTTTAATAAATTATTATTAATTATTTTGTTAATGAATATCAAGAATGAAAGTTTTTATGGGCATAGTGTAAGTCCCATGGTTTCGGGCTTCCGCTATGACCCCAATCAAAAAGAAATATCGATTAATTTTTTATAGACCTTTTTTATTTATTAATACCAATTTAATTGTGAACAACTATGGCTTGATGACAATTGAATCGTTTAACCTAAAACTAGTATTTTAATGGATTTAGTGAGTAATTTAATTTTAGAAATATTTAAAATCAATGTTAAAAAATCAAGAGATAAAAATGAACATGTATAAAAATAAAATTATTAAAAAAACAATCAAGTTTGTTAGTAGAATAAGATGTTTAAATCACTAAACTAACCACTTTTAATATATCATATATATGATTTCTAATAATTATTATATTATAAAAATATTCTTGTAATTTAATTAATTAATCACTAATTTAGCTTCTAAAAGAACATATAATTTCTAACAGTTTTGTAATTAATTATTTTTTTAGGATTTTTTTACGGCAGCTACTGACACAACATCCATATCAGTAGAATGGACAATAGCAGAATTGTTGAACAATCCAAAGGTGTTGAAGAAAGCCCAAGAGGAAGTAGAAACAGTGATTGGGAAGAAACGATTGGTGTGTGAAGCAGACGGTCCAAATCTTCCTTATATCAATGCCATCATAAAAGAAACAATGAGACTTCACCCACCAATACCAATAATTATGAGGAAGGGAATTGAAGATTGTGTGGTTAACGGAAACAAGATTCCAAAAGGTTCAATAGTATGTGTAAACATTTGGGCCATGGGGAGGGACCCCAATGTTTGGGAAGACCCATTAAAGTTTAAGGCAGAGAGGTTTTTAGAAGGTGAAAGAAGCAGTATAGATATAAAAGGACATAACTTTGAGTTGTTGCCATTTGGTAGTGGAAGGAGAGGGTGTCCTGGCATGCCTTTGGCCTTGAGAGAGTTACCCACCATCATTGGAGCTCTCATACAATGCTTTGAGTGGAAAATCTTTGATTCCAAAGATCATGCTCATACTACAACTTTAATCAATATGGATGAACGACCAGGATTAACTGCTCCTAGGGCCAATGATCTTATTGTTGTTCCTGTTGCACGATTAAATCCCACTCATTTTCTTCATATTTAGTATGAAAGGAATTTGTGACTACAAAGTCTTATGCACACCATTTTTATGCTTATGTAATATGGATTTTATGTATTGTATACAATAAAGTCATGGCAATTTCTTTGGTGTAAATTCTATTTAGAGGGTATCAATATACCCTCCAACTATGACCATTTAAATGATATTATAAGTGATTTTTATTATATTTATTAATTTATAAACAGGTTTTAGTTTTTGCATATTAGTCATTTATTAATTTATTACATTTTGGAGAATAGCTTCACATTACTTACATGTCTCGCTCTTTCTGGAGAATATATATATAATATATATATATATATATATATGTATATATATAAGGAGAAATTCGTTTACTCTAGGAGTAAGTTCACCTATACTTATTTCATTTAATAATTCATATTTTACATCAAATCTCAACAATTCAACTCTTGAATTTAAAATTATTAATGTATAGATCAAATATGCAAATTTTTAAAAAATTTGAAAATCATTATTTGATACTTCTTTCAATTAATTCAAACCAACGTATAAAATATTTTTATGATTATCCATCAATTTGAATTAATGAAACGAGCTATCAAATAGTTTTCAAAACCTTAAACCATAAAGAGAGAGAGAGAGGCAGAGAGAGAGAAGAGTTCAAACATCTTAAGTTCTTAATAATTTGTCTAAAATCATAAAATAAAAAAATTTGTCTACAAAAATATTTACAATAAAAACTATAAAAATATAATAATTTTTTTGTCAAATAAAAGTTAAATAATAAAATTTTATTTTTAATAAAATAATAATCTTAACATATATGTATCAGCAAAATTAAATTTAAAAAATTCACGGGGGTCATGACCCCCTAGTTACATAAGTAGCTCCATCCCTACTCTCAACCTATTCAATAATTCATGCATGCAATTCCAAAATATCAATTATAACAACATACAACTCAAAAACCAAAGGAGAATATACATGCATCAACAACACCTCAAGAAAATCACCAATTTCTTAACTTTTAATCAAGAACACCAAAATCCCAAATCTCCTTTCCATGCATTTCGATTTGATCAACACAACCAGGGAATTCAAGCAAAATACACAAACAAATTCATAAAGGGTTGACTTCTGACTTTCCTTACCTTGGATTGCTTGAAAACAAGAAAAGGAAGAAAGAATGACGAAGAATGAAGCTCTACGAGAGTACATCGTACAACAACCTTGACTACAGATTCTTAGTCTCCAAGCTTGAATCTTCAATCCAACAACTCTTCTCAACTAATGGGAAGGATTTAGAGTGTTTTCACAAAATCAAAAGAAGAACTAAATATTTTTGGCTCTAGAACCTATCACTCTTATTCTCTTTAACTTTCTTGAGAACATAAACTTAATTATGAATTTCATATCTTAAGAAAATTCTTATATGTCATTCCTTAAATTTAATTAACTTAACTTTTAATTAACTAAAACTACTTTATAAATAATTTAACTGTGACCCATCAACCCCATAACCTCAAAATAACAATAATTACAATAAAACAATAATTATACAGATATCATAATTAATTAAAATGTTTAAAATGTATGGTGTTACACCTGTAAAATAAAATATATTATGTTTTAAATAACATCGAAATTATTCATTTAAAAGTGATTTCCTTTTAGACAAACATTTTAACAATTTTTTTTCACTTTTGCTAATTAATGCAAGGAAATGTACATGAAAAATAATCGTATTATTTATTTTAACTATTTTTTAATCCCTTATAATCATCTTTATTTTTAAATTAAAATTTAATATTTTTAAATAACTAATTAATGATTAAAATATTTTGTATATTATAATATAAATTATATAATGTAAATTTAAAACATAATTTATATATTAAAAAATATTTATTTATTACAAATTTTAATTATCATAAAATAAAAACCTATCGTGTACATTACATACACGTGTTAAAAAAGCTAGTAAACAGTAATTAAGCAACATCGTAATAAACTTTAAAAAGTCATAAATTGGAGGTGAAAATTGTAATTTGGTTTCTTTGAATTTCGATTCTCCCTTTCTTCTCTATCACTATCCTTTCAATTATCGATTTGAATAACCGGTGGGGATTTCTCTCGTCTCGCTTGAATGATCCATCGCATACCCAAAACGATTAATCCAAATCCACTGCTCCATTATGCTCACAATCAATCCCTATTCCACAGCCACAAACCTCGACCCCATGAAAGGCCAACTCCGAAGTTTCGCAAGCGCATTCCTTTCGTCTCCCAAGTCAAAACAGTGCAAGACCCAGAAGAAGCCTTGTCTCTCTTTCACCGTTACAAGGAACAGGGTTTCCGCCACTATTACCCTTCCTATGCCGCTTTGCTCTACAAACTCGCTCGTTCCAGAAACTTCGAAGCCGTTGAAACCATTCTCGCCCACATGAGAGACACCGAATTGCAATGTAGAGAGAGCGTTTTCATTGCTCTCTTTCAACATTATGGTCCTCAAAAAGCTTTTGAACTCTTCAACAGAATGCCCCAGTTCAACTGCGTCCGCACGATTCAGTCTTTCAATGCTCTTCTCAATGTTCTAGTTGACAACAACCTGTTTGATAAGGCCAATCATGTTTTTGGACGGTCCTATGAAATGGGTTTTCGTCCAAACACGGTGACATTCAATATAATAATGAAAGGGTGGTTGGCGAAGGGTGAGTGGGAGAAAGCATGCGAGGTGTTTGATGAAATGCTTCAGAAGAGAGTGCAGCCTAGTGTTGTCACTTATAATAGTCTCATTGGATTTTTATGCAGGAAGGGTGATTTAGATAAAGCAATGACCTTGCTTGAGGACATGAGACAGAAAGGAAAGCATGCGAATGAAGTAACCTATGCGCTGTTGATGGAGGGTTTGTGTTCAGCGGAGAAGTACGAGGAGGCTAAGAAGCTGATGTTTGATATGGCGTATCGCGGGTGTAAAGCTCAGCCGGTGAATTTTGGTGTTTTGATGAACGATTTTGGGAAGAGAGGGAAGGTTGGGGAGGCCAAGTCTTTGCTCCATGAGATGAAGAAAAGGCGGCTTAAGCCGGATGTTGTAACGTACAACATATTGATAAATTATCTTTGCAAGGAAGGTAAGGCAGTGGAAGCTTACAAAGTATTAACTGAGATGCAGATTGGGGGATGTGAGCCTAATGCAGCTACTTACAGGATGATGGTTGATGGTTTGTGTCAGATTGGGGATTTTGAGGTAGGTTTGAGTGTTTTGAATGCAATGCTTACAAGTAGACATTGTCCACGTTCGGAGACATTTAATTATCTGGTTGTTGGCCTGTTGAAATGTGGGAATATTGATGGTGCTTGCTTTGTTTTGGAAGAGATGGAGAAGAGAAAGGTAGAACTTGATTTGAAGAGCTGGGAAATTATTATAAAGTCTGTCTGTAGTGAGGATAAGGGTGTTAGTGAGCTTATGAAAGTACTTGCATCTCTGAATATCTAATAAAATGCATTTGGTGTGGAGGAAATTGGAAGTCCTTCATAAGTTTTCACTTTTTAAGGTAATAACGTTTATTGAATGGTTTCATTTCAAGGGGAACATATTGTTTACAATTGGTGGATATATCTTGGTGCATAGGTTAGAAGACGATTGTTAATGGTATTTGATGGCAAAGATATATAACATGACACACAACATAAATACAAGATTACGGCAAATTTTAAAAATTATATAACATGATCTCTAAGCAGAGCCTTAAGAACGTATAGTTGCTGATTTTTGTCTATCGGGTCTGAATTTCATCCCTGCCTCTTAGTCGGCTTTAAAAATATTTTGATGAAAGTTGAAAGGTGAAATCCAACATGATTGATCTACAGGTTTAAGGGCCTCTACGAATTCCATGTCCATAGTTTAATAAATGAACGTTCTGCTTTCTTGTGACATAGACGTTTAGGTCACATTTCTAGAGAAAGAATGGAAAGATTAATAAAAAAATGAAATTCTTCCAAATCTAGATTTTACGGATCTAAATATTTGTGTAGATTGTATTAAAGGAAAACAAACAAAACATACAAAGAAAGGAGCTACAAGAAGCACTCAGCTTCTTGAAATTGTGCATATCGATATATGTGGTCCTTTTGATGTCAATTCTTTCGGAAAAGAAAAATACTTCATTACCTTTATAGATGACTATTCACATTATGGTTATGTCTATCTATTGCATGAGAAATCTCAAGCAGTCGATGCCTTAGAAATTTACTTGAATGAAGTAGAAAGGCAATTAGACAAAAAGTGAAAGTTGTAAGATTTGATAGAGGTGGTGAGTATTATGGAAGATATAATAAAACTGGGCAACACCTAGGTCCATTTGCTAAACTTCTTCAGAAACGTGGCATTTGTGCTCAATATACAATGTCATGTACACCACAACAAAATGGTGTATCAGAAAGGCGTAATAGAACATTAATGGATATAGTTAGGAGTATGTTAAGTAATTCAACTTTACCCATATATTTGTGGATGTATGCCTTGAAAATTACCATGTATTTGTTAAACAAGGTTCCTAATAAGGCAATTTCAAAGACACCTTTTGAATTGTGGACTGGTAGGACACCTAGTTTAAGACACTTACTTGTTTGGGGTTGTCAGGTAGAAATAAGGATTTATAATCCACAGGAAAAGAAATTAGATGCAAGAACAATCAGTGGATATTTCATTGATTATCCAGAAAAATCAAAGGGATATATGTTTTATAATCCTAATCATAATATGAGAATTGTTGAAACTGGAAATGCAAGGTTTATTGAAAATTGTAAAGTTAGTGGGAGTACAATTCCACAGAAAGTGGAAGTCAAAGAAGTTAGAATGCAAGTTCCTTTGACTTATGCCTCTGGCAATAAAGTAAGTGTTTCTCTAACTGTTGTGTCAAACAACAATGAAGAAGAGCAACACAATAATGAACCCAAGATTCATAATGAACCTATTATAGAACAACCACAAGAAATAACATTAAGAAGGTCACAAAGAGAAAAAAGACCAGCTATTTCAAATGACTATATGGTATATCTACATGAGTTAGAAACTGACTCAAGTATTAATGAGAATGATCCAGTTTCGTTTTCACAAGCTGTAAGTTGTGATAATTCTGAAAAGTGGTTAAATGCCATGAAAGAAGAATTAAAATCCATGGAACAAAATGATGTTTGGGACCTTGTAGAATTGCCAGAAGGTTGCAAGAGAGTTGGTTGTAAGTGGGTCTTTAAAACTAAAAGTGACTCTGATGACAATCTTGAAAGGTACAAGGCTAGACTTGTTGTTAAGGGTTTTACTAAAAAAGATGGCATTGATTACAAAGAGACTTTTTCACCCGTCTCACGAAAGGATTCCTTTAGAATTATCATGACATTAGTAGCCCATTATGACTTGGAGCTACATCAAATGGATGTGAAAACCGTCTTTCTAAATGGAAATTTGGAGGAGAATGTTTACATGGACCAACTAATGGGGTTCTCAGTTGAAGGAAAGAAACACATGGTGTGCAAATTAAAGAAATCAATATATGGACTTAAGCAAGCTTCTCGCCAATGGTATTTAAAATTTAATGATACCTATCGTAATCAGAATCACAACGGAATGACGACAACCTTTTTTTTTCAATGGAATCGCCACCAATATTTTATTTTAAGGGAAAAACATTGGAAAACCCTTTAAAAAATAATCTTTAAAATTAAAGTTGGGTTCGGGAGTCAATTACGTGTAAGGAAGGTATTAACACCCTACAACACCCGTAAAAATAGTACCTTTAATTAATTGCGCAAAATTATATAAATTTATAAATATTTAATTTTCTCCTGAGAAATATATATATATATATTATATATATATATATATATTTTTTTTTTTTTTTAAAATGTGAGATGCCTTTTTTTTGTATTTATATTAGAAAATTATAGGGATTTGGGTTAGCAAATGATTAATCAATAAACCATTCCAATAACATGAAAGATAGAATTGTTATTCAATCAATGTTATTGATTTTTATTTGTTGATACTAAATTATGCTTAAAACTTAAGATAATGAATAATTATTCTATTAACTTTTGTGATTTACATGATATTAAAGGGTAGAAGTGTTACTCAATTAATATCATTAACCATAAAAATAAGTATACATGAATATTTTTATTTAAAAAAATAGATTTTGCATAAGGATTCAAGTTAGCAAATGACTAATTAATAAGTCTCTTCAATAACATTAAAAATAGAAGTGTTACTTAATTAACGTAATTAGTTGCAACATCTTTGTTCTTAAAAAAAATTTTGTACAGGAGAGTTTAAGCTAGCAAATGACTAGTTATTAAACCCCTAGAACCAAATAATGTTAAAGATAAAATGTTATTCAATTAACATTATTATTTTTCGTATATTAAATATTTTTTAAACAATTATTTTAAAGACAACAAATCATATTCACTATGTACATACAATTATTAAATAAAAATTAAAAAATAAAAAATGAATAAAAAATAAATTAAAAAAAGAAAGAAAAAGAAATGATACCAAATGAGAGACTTTAACTTGCTGAATCTTCAAATATGATGATCTATTAGGCTCTTTTTGGCGACCTAACACACTATAATGTTCCTCATAGATCTCAAGAAATACAAAGAGAGAGAGACAGAAATTTCTAGCTCTAAAGAGTCTTAGACGAAATTTTCTGGCCCCGAAAACTATGCCCGAGTCGTCTATTTATAGACGTAAGAAGTTGCCAGAACGGCCCGTTTCAAAATCGGAACGGTCCGTTCCGACCCGTTCTGGGCTAATTAAACAATTTTTTTTGGCTTCAAACTTTCTTGTTGTCATATAATGTTGCTTCCATACTTTGGGAGCTCCTCCTTTTCATAGTAGATGTCCATTTCATTATTTTTGTGATTCCGGATAAAATTGATTATTCACAATACCATTGTTTCCTTTGGATTTAAAGAAAATATTGTTGATCGATGCATATATTTGAAGGTCAATGGGAGTAAAGTTATATTTTTAATTCTGTATGTTGATGACATCTTGATTGCAACTAATGATCTTGGTCTTCTTCATGAGGCTAAGAAGTTTCTCTCTAGTAACTTTGAAATGAAAGATATGGGCGAGCCAAGCTATGTGATAGGAATAGAAATATTCCAAGATAGATCACAAGGACTATTAGGCTTGTCTTAGAAAACATATATCAATAAAGTACTAGAGAGATTCAGGATGGAAAAGTGCTCAGCATCGCCCGTTCCAATTCACAAAGGAGATAAGTTTAGTCTCACTCAATATCCTAAAAATGACTTGGAACGAAAATAAATGGAAGCAATTCTGTATGCATCAGTTGTTGGGTGTATCATGTATGCTCAGATCTGTACTCGACCAAATATAAGCTTTGTAGCTGGAATGTTAGGAAGATATCAAAGTAATCCGGGAATGGAACATTGGAAAGCTGCAAAGAAAGTTCTGAGATACTTACAGGGAACAAAGTGTCACATGCTTACATATAGGAGGTCTAATCACCTTGAGGTGATTGGATATTCAGACTCTGATTTTGCTGAATGTGTGGATTCAAGAAAATCCACTCTTGGCTATGTATTTCTTTTGGCTAGAGGAGCAATATCATGGAAAAGTGAAAAACAAATAGTTGTTGCTTCATTGACTATGAAAGCTGAATTTGTAGCATGTTTTGAGGCTACAATTCAAGCTAATTGGTTACGGAACTTTATTTCAGGGCTTGGAATTGTCGACAGTGCTAAGCCGCTGAAAATGTATTGTGATAATTCTGCAGCAGTATTTTTTTCTAAGAACGACAAGTACTCTAAGGGTGCTAAGCGTATGGAATTAAAGTACTTTGCCGTGAAGGAGGAAGTTCAGAAACAAAGAGTGTCAATAGAACATATTAGCACAAATCTTATGATTGCTGATCTTTTAACAAAGGGATTACTTCCCAAAACATTTATTGAGCATGTTAAAAATATGAGCATTATTGTTACTAATGATTGTTGAGTATCATGTTTATTTTATATTAAGTGATTGACATTTTGAGCTCATTAATGATATGTTTCTGAGTACCTGTTTTCTATAGTTTTATGCATATTTGTCTTAGAGTAATGTAAACAGGTGTTATCTTGAATGAAGATATAAAGTTGGACCAAGTATGTGCTCCTTATTAATGATCATATTAAGAAGAAGACTTGTTTGTAGTACATGGAAGGGACTCTGTCGATTAAACTGATGTACAACCACCATGACTCAAATTAGTTCATATTTTTAAATATGAAATTATGATGAACTCAATGTATAAAATGATTTAGCCATTTTAATGCGCATTATATTAATTTAATTTATTTATTTATTTGTCTGTTATGATAAATGTCACATGAGTCAAGTGAGAGAATATAAGATAATTATGTCTCATGTGAGAAATATGTAATATATAAAGGGACTAATAAATAAATAATTAAATAATTAAAGACTAAATCATAAATGGGTTTAATGGAGCAATTATGAGAATAATTGTTATTTGATGAGAATAACAATCTTTAGGGGTTATAAATATCCACTAATGTAAGACAAGGTCCACACTCCCCTGACAGAAAATATTCTCTCAAATCCTAGCTATCAGGAAAGATAAAGAGAGTAGAAAGAAAAACAAAAGGGAGTGAAATCTTAGTTCTCTTCTCAAGAAGATTAAAACACTTTAAAGATCAAATGAGATTTTCATTATGGAGAAAGATACACACTTTCTTATTATTATGTGAGTATCATGAATTTCAAAAATCCTTTAATTTTCTATAATTGATGTATCAAAAAATAATAGAAGTTACATCGTTCTCTCTTTTCTGTTGATTTTCACATTCGGATATAATATATCGATTCTTAGACGTGGATAGGTTCATAATTCGCAAAAGAAAAATGCAACATAAACAATTACTAACGTAATACAGTTTCTGACATACGTACATTTTTGTTTATTGAAATTACGTAGGTTGTTCCGCTGAGTTATATACTTGCATTTTCTATTTAATAATCACATAATAAATTTTAAGGAAAAAGATAAAATGTGCTAAAAACAAGAATGTATTTGTACGTAGTGTCTCATTTAGTATATACGTTTCTTCATGTTTATAATCTTAATTTAAATACAAAAAGTAGTTTCTATTTCTCTTTCTTTTCTCAAGTTGAGAAAGACTATATATCTTGACATTTTCCGTTTCACAATCATATATTAAAAAAGATCAATAAATTTTTAACTAAATAAATAAATATATATATATATATATATATAAAATATAGAGAGATAAAAAGAAAGAATCAAATGATTTATAAAATAATTTTTAATAAAGTTATTTTACTCAATAATTTATGGTGTATGTTAAATTTTATCTATTTAATTAAATTAAAAGTTATTAAATTTTACTAATAATTAATATATAAAAAATTGATTAGTTTTTGAAATAAATTATTTACCAATAATATAATTGAAAAATTGATTATTTTAAATTATATTATCATTATATTTGGATAAATAAGAACTCACATAGGTCATAAGTTAATTGACCGACCAAGTTGAATGGACATTAATACACTCGGAAACAAAGTTCTAAATCTAGGAGTTACCACAACAATCACCTTAGAGAATACTAGCATTTAGAAACACTACTGTATAAATTTGCATACACAAATTTAGCCAAAGCCATATTATTGTAACCGCAAATCAATTTCGAAAATTAAGGTTGGGTCTTTCAACAGGAAAACAGACCAAGTCGTGCGCCCTAGGAGCCGTCAACCCTGGCCTCTCACTCACATCAATATTCACTACATTTTCACCCTTCAAAACCTCACCATTGGAATCCACCACCTGAAAATCAAAGCACTGGATGATGGCTGCAAGCAGTGCTGGCACCTCCTGCATGGCTAACTCACCCCAGGGCACATCCTCCTCCCTGATATTACAATTTTGATAAAGAAATCACCATGAAAATATCATGAAAGAAACTTTCTTGAAGAAGGAGAAGAAGAAGAATGTGAAATCAGAAATATATTGAAAAAACCTATTTAACAATGATCAACTACAAGTATATATAGTTACAGCAATACAAGAGAAAACAAACTATGACTAACTAACCTCCTAACCTCCTAACTGAATTAAAAAATACAAATAGAAAACAGAATAAGAAAATAGAATAAGTTAAGTCATCATGACACCCTCCCTCAAGCTTGGAGTGGTAAAGTTTGAAAGTCCAAGCTTGCACACAAAATCCTGGAACATTTTTGGTAAAAGAGGCTTAGTTAAAATATCAGCAAGCTGTCCAGATGAAGTGATTGGAGCTAGATGAATAAATCCTGCTTGAACTTGATCTCTGACAGTGTGGCAATCAATTTCCACATGCTTAGTTCTTTCGTGGAATACAGGGTTAGCAGCAATGTACAAGGCTGACTGATTATCACAAAACAGAGATATTGGAATGAGATCTTGCAGTTGAAAGTCTGTCAACAGCTTATGAAGCCATTGAGCTTCACAAACTCCTAATGCTAAGGCTCGATATTCAGCTTCAGATGAAGATCTAGACACCACATTTTGTTTCTTGCTTTTCCAAGAAACTAACGCATTGCCCAGAAAAAAACAGAAGCCTGAAATGGATCTCCTTGAATCAGGACAAGTGGCCCAGTCTGAATCTGTATAACCTGTGAGCTTAAGATCTGATGAGGATGGGAAGAATAGACCCTTTGTTGGAGTAGCTTTCACATATCTAAGCACTTTCCGAGCAGCTTGAAAATGTGCATTGTTTGGTTGGTGCATGAATTGACTTAATTTTCCAACAGCAAAGGCCAAATCAGGTCTTGTGTGGGTTAAGTAAATCAATCTGCCAACTAGTCTTCTATATGATGATGGATCTGAATAGAGATCAAGTGGATCATGGTGAAGCCTAGTTGTGTGATCCATTGGAGTAGAACATGGTTTGGATGCTAATAGTCCTGTATCTTGCAACAACTCAAGGGCATACTTTCTCTGGCAAACAGAAATGCCTTGATCTGATCTAGAAAACTCAAGACCAAGAAAGTAGCTCAATTGGCCAAGATCCTTGATACTAAATTGTTTGTCCAGAAGCCTCTTTACCTTCATAATCTCTGTTTCATCACTACCTGAAATAATCAAGTCATCAACATACACAAGGATGGCTATAAAACCGATATTAGTTCTTTTAGTAAACAATGAATAATCTGACTTTGACTGAACAAAGCCAAACAGTTTGAGTGTCTCAGTGAGTTTAATGTTCCATTGTCTACTGGCTTGTTTGAGACCATAAAGAGATTTTTGCAATTTGCATACTTTGTTAGGAGAAGATAAGATAAGGCCAGGAGGTGGTTTCATATAAACTTCTTCTACTAAGTCACCATGTAAGAAAGCAGTGTTAATATCTAGTTGATGTACTGACCAATTAGAAGCAGCAGCTATAGCCAAAAAAACTCTAATAGTGGTCATTCTTACTACAGGACTAAAAGTGTCAATGTAATCCAAACCTGGTATTTGTGTAAAACCTTTGGCTACTAGTCTAGCCTTATATCTTTCAACTGATCCATCAGCATGATATTTCACCTTAAATACCCATCTACAACCAACAGCCCTTTTATTAGGAGGAAGATCAGTTAATATCCAGGTTTTCTGTTTATCTAAAGCATCTAATTCTGCTCTAATAGCTTCCTTCCAGCAATCATGATTAATAGCATCTTGATAAGACCTCGGTTCAATGATTGAAGAAATAGTTGAAACAAAAGACTGTTGAACTGCAGAATAAGATGTATAGGGAAGGTAATCAGAGATAGGATACCTGGCTGTAGATGATGATTGGTCAACTTTTGAAGCTGCAAGAGTGCAATGGTAGTCCTGCAAATATCCTGGTCTGTTTTTGACTCTTTGAGATGTTCTTCTAATTTCAGGGATATTAATTTCAATGTTAGGTTGATCACTATTGCTGGAATTTGTCATAGGTAAAGTTGAAGAATTATGTTCATGTTCAGTTTCATCAAGATTATCATGAGTATGACTAGGAATAGGGTCACAACTAGTTAAAGGCATTTGTGCTATAGGTACAACAGGACCATCAGTAGATTGAATTGAAAAATCCTTTTGTAGTGGAAAAATATTCTCATAAAATTGTACATCTCTAGAAATGAAAGTCTCTCTTGTTTTTAAATCATACATAATAAATCCTTTTGTGCCTGAACTGTATCCAAGAAACATACATTTTCTTGATCTAGGTTCAAGTTTGGTTCTATTATGAGATAAAGTAGAAGCAAAAGCCAAACAACCAAAGACCTTCAAATGTGAGAAATCAGGTTTTTCTGAATAAAGCACATAATAAGGAGAATTTTGTTGCAAAAATCTAGTAGGTAGTCTATTAATTAAGTGGACAGCATGTCCAATAGCATAATTCCAAAACATTTTGCTTACATTTGATTGAAACATAAGTGCTCTAGCCATACTTAAAATATGTTGATGTTTTCTCTCGACTACTCCATTTTGTTGTGGTGTATTTACACAAGAGGTTTGATGCACAATTCCCAATTTAGCATACCAATCTTTTAAAAGAAATTCTGAGCCATTATCAGTTCTTATAGTTTTAATGTTTTGCTGAAACTGAGTTTGAACAAAAGAGACAAAGTTCTGCAACAATAACTTGGTTTCAAACTTATTTTTCATGAAAAATATCCAAGTGAATCTAGATTTGTCGTCTACTATAGTTAGGAAGTATTTGTGACCAAAAATAGAAGCTACAGATAAAGGTCCCCAAATGTCTACATGAATTAAATCAAACACATTTTCAGATTTGGTTAAGCTATCTGGAAAAGGTAATCTTTTGTGCTTAGCAAGATGACAAATTTCACAAGGCAAAGAAATTTTATTGCATTGAATTTCAGGATAAGATCCCTTGAGAGCAGAAAGTTTGTCATGTGATAAATGTCCTAATCTCAAATGCCATAAATCTGATTGGTAAGTAAAAAAATGACTTGTACAGTGATGAACAACATTTGACTCAGGTGAGGAAACCATTGCATACAATCCTGCCCGCAACTCAGCTGCACCAATCATCCTCATGGAGTGATTTGCTTGAATCTGACAATCAGAATCAGAAAAGGTAAGTGTGCAGGATAAAGTTTTAGCAAGCTTGGAGACCGAAATAAGATTAAAATGAAAGTTAGGAATAAATAAAACATCCGTTAGGTAACATGTTTTGGACAGCAGAACAGTTCCAGATACACAAGTACTAACTTGTGATCCATTTGGAAGTTGGATCAGTATAGGCTTGATTCTTCTATAGGATTGAAAAAAATTGATGTTTTTACAAACGTGATCTGTGGCTCCAGTATCTATGATCCAGCAATCACTATTATGAGAATAAGGGAAAGACAGAATCATACCTGGTGGCTTTGGAGAAGAAAGGATAGAAGGACCTGCAAGTTGATTCACAGAGTGACTGGATGTGCTACCTGATTGTTGAAGAAGGGCTAGAAGGGCTTGATGTTGTTCTGGAGTAAACATGTTCCCTGAATTATGGGAGACTACTCTCTGAGAGTGGACAGATTGATCATCATCAGTATCCTCATCAGAAACAGATTGGTACTGGTTCACAATTCTGCCATGCTTGTGTTGTAGTGGAGGACCATGTTTCTTATAACATGAATCAACTAGGTGACCAATCCTCCCACAATGGGAACATACCTTTGTGTTGTAGTCTTTATTTCTTTTAAATGTTTTGGATCCTTTATAGTTGTTCCTTTCATTATTAGAAGTCACTGCCAATACCTGATTATCGTTGGTACCATGGAATTCTCTTTCTTGTTGCAAGATCATGGAGAAAACCTTTTGCACCGATGGCAAAGGGTCCATCAACATTACTTGAGATCTTACATTGGAATACTGCTCATTCAATCCTTTAAGAAACCTTATGACACATTCTCTTCCCTGTATGACTGAATGGTAGGGATGAGTGTACAAGAACAGGTAGTAAAGCAAGTGCAGGAAGGTATAGGACAGAAATGATCTAATTCTTGCCATAGTCCTTGTAAGGTTGTGAAGTAATGTGTAATGGACATATTACCTTGTTTTAGTGAGTAGATTTCCTCAAGCAATTCAGAGATTCTAAAGGCATCACCTTGGTAGTACCGTTTCTTGAGATCGTTCCATATTTGAGAAGCTGTTGGCATCCAGATTACACTTGGAATTAGGGATGTATCCAGCGATTGTACGATCCAGGAAATAACCAACTTGTTGCAACGATCCCAAGCTGTTTGATCCACTCCGGCAGTGACAGGTCGAGCGAGAGATCCATCGATGAATGCGAGTTTGTTTTTGGTTCCGAGAACAAGCAACATAGATTGCGACCAAGAAAGATAATTGTGATCATTTAGAGGTGCAGAAACCAAACTGATTGAAGGATTTTCGTTGGAAGGAAGAAAATATGGACTGAGAGGATCAAGGAGAGGGTTTGTTTGAACAGTCATGATTGAAGATTTTGAAGATGGAAAAAAAAGAAGGGGAACAGATCAAGAAATTAGATCTTTAATTGATGGAAGAGGGAAGGAAAAAAAAACACAGAGCCCTGGCACAGGCTTTGATACCATATTACAATTTTGATAAAGAAATCACCATGAAAATATCATGAAAGAAACTTTCTTGAAGAAGGAGAAGAAGAAGAATGTGAAATCAGAAATATATTGAAAAACCCTATTTAACAATGATCAACTACAAGTATATATAGTTACAGCAATACAAGAGAAAACAAACTATGACTAACTAACCTCCTAACCTCCTAACTGAATTAAAAAATACAAATAGAAAACAGAATAAGAAAATAGAATAAGTTAAGTCATCATGACACCTGAACCAAACGGCAAAAGTTGAAAGTGTTGACCCCTCACATCTATTTGCCCTTCTTCACCAACCTTCAAGAATCTCTCGGGAAGAAACTCCAATGGGTTCTTCCAATAATTAATTTGGGTCCCTTCTAATGGACCAAATATTTACGAAAAGTAGTGTATTTTTTGGGATTACGTAATTTTTTCGATGCTACAACTTGCGACACATTTTCTAGTGACCTATAAAGTATTGATACTTCAATTTGCTTTACCGATATGTATTCGACACGATATTCTTAATACTTCACCGATATGTGTCAATAAAGTATTCTAACCCTTAAAAATATTATAAAATTTTTATTCAATTCCAATACTCTCAGATATACTTCACCGATACTTATTGGTAATACGTATCGATAAAATATTTAAATTTTTGAAAAATTATGAAATATCCATTACAGCTAAATAAATATAAATATATTTAATATAGAAACATAGAAATATTGGTCCTTGATGAACTGTAAATAAAAATTGTCTTCTATATAGATAATTTTAAGAAATGAATGAAATAAATAATATTATTTTTATTTGTAAATAATAAAAAGTAATTTATGATGAAATGATTTATAATTTATTTATTTTTAGTAATGTATAATAAGTATGTTTTTAATTTGGATTTGTAAAATAACAATTATATATTTAATGTCTATGAATTTTGATCAAAATTACTTAGTATACAGTTATTATATTGTATGAACATTGATATATATGATGACACGTATCTTACAAGTATCGTATCTTATATATTTTAAAATAATCGTATCGCCGTATCGGATACGTGTCGTATCTGATATGCGTATCGTATCGGTGCATCATAGCTAGTGACCATAGGCATTGGTAGGTGTAGACGAAATGTTTCCTTGACGATGATGGCTTGGAGGTAAGGCCTCCTCCGCCTCCCCGAGCATCATCACCGATATGACATTGTTCGTCAACTTAAGGAGGAACACGTAGCGCACTGCAGCTGAAACAATGAAAGAGACAAAGAGGAGAGCCTCCATTTTCCTTGGATTTCCTTACTTTGGAGAGCCTCCATTTTCCTTACGTTTCTTCATGTGTATAATTTTAATTTAAATACACGAGTAGTCTCTGTTTCTCTTTCTTTTCTCAAGTTGAGAAAGGCTATACATGTTGACATGTTAGAAGATTCACCCGCGCTGTAAGAGTACTTTTTAGTTTTACTGCTCTAGTTATGTTGCCCACATAGATAAACTATAATTCAAAATATATTTGATAATATATATATATATATATTACAGTACTACATTTTTCTTTCTTTTTTTTGGGAAAGCAATGCGGTGCCCACTGTAATCACTTTGAATGTTGTTACAGTGAAATGAAACTTATTAACAGCTAATCAACTACTATTAACCTAGCTGGTTGATGCAAACATGACAAAAACTCGTCACGCGAGAACTGTTATCCAATGTAAACTAATATTTAATGGCTATATATACACTAGTCATGCATGCATGACATCTTTTTTTTGGCTCTTGGAGGGTCATAATAAAAAATCATGCCAATTGTATGACACGAGAGAAAAAAGAAAGAACATTTCTATGATACCAACTATAATTGTGGGCAGCCGTCTAATTTCTTATTTATTTATTATAATTACTTATTTTATTTTTATTTTTATTTAGTATTTTTAATAATTTTTTTTTATAAATTTTTTTTTATATTTTTAAATTTTTTAAATTTTATTATTAATATTTTGTTATTATGTTTTAGTTCTTTTTTGTTAATTTTTTAAATTTATAGTATAAATTAGTTTTTTAATTATATTATTTATTATTCTTTTCTTATTTAATATTTTTATAATATTATTATACTTTTTGTTTTTAATTTTTTAATTCTAACATATAATAAAATTTATTATGAAAATTGACTTTTTGATTATTTTTTTTTGAATTAGTCTTTTTATTGATTTATCTTCTTCAAATTTTTAATCTAAAATTTGTTATTTTGAATTTATTTTTTTTAAATTTATTTGTTCAAATAATTTGAGGTACCAAAACCCTTCAATTATCATGAGTATCATAGTAGTTCCTAGAAAGAAAAGAATATTACTACTGAACCTTTTTATAAAATTAAGAAGGGTGTAACTTATGTGTATTTGTGTATCATTATTTAAAATTCACATCACTTTTTTAGTTTTTATAACTGTTTACCTTTTTCTTCTTTCCTTTTTTCCGTAGCTTTCTCTCCTTCACTTTCTAAAATCCACCACACACTACTACAATATTCAATCATTTTCAAGTTTAATTTCTAAAACTACCCTTAATTTTATAGTTTTCCCAACTTCATTTATTTATTTAAGTCTTGAACTTTATTGGATAGATAAAATTATTCTATAGTATATGGAATTAGCCAATTATATACAAGTTTGTTAACTTTTGTTGGAAAAACATAGAAATCCATTAAATTAAATTACATGTTGATATTTTTTTATGGTACACAATATTTTAAAATATGTTCAAAAATTGAAAATGAAAACAGCTTTATATAAGGCGTTCTGGAGTTGATGTGGTTCTATTTAAAAAACAAAAAAAAATCAATCCAATTAAAAATTGAATTTCCTTGTTAGGTTAAGCTAAAAGATAAATTATTATATTTTTATTTTTTATTTTACGTGTGTTATTCATTACATGAAAATTTCAATTTAATATTACTTTATATTAAATGGGTCTTTATGTATCTCATTAATCCTTTTACTTAATTAAATAAATAATATATTATAATATTGTAATTAATATATTATAAAAATAGATAAAAAAACATATATAACCAAAATCATTTAAAAATATAAAATATATATGGCATTCAAAATAAATTGAAAATGAAAAAAAAAATAGAAGAAAGGAATAACATATTAAAGTCTAAAGTACATAAATTTAAAATTTTATGAAAAAAAAAAGTTGATCAGGTATTATCATGAATGAAATAATATGAGCTTGTTTCAGCATTAAAAAAAAGTTGATCAGCTTGTGATTAGATTGGTTCAAGTTAAGAGATAAATTTGAAAAGCAAACTAATTATAATTAGTTTAATTTATATTTGATGTAAAATGAATTTATTAATTAACCAAAATAATAAAGATTTTAATTAGCTTGATTTGGATTAACAAGTTTATCAAATTAACTTAATCTAATGAATACTCCAAATAATAGTGCATGATTCAACTCTTCAATCAATTCAATTAATTTTTGTTTATATTACATGTATTTTTTTTTATAGGAAGCAATCATTTTCGAGTCAAATAAGAATTATATTTTGACAAACTATAAGAAAAACAATTAAAAAAAAACTTCACATATTACATATTAATTTTAAACCAAATTGAATAACCGATAAGGTTAGTTTAATTAGTGATTAAAATAATATATAAAAAATAAGATGTTATACATTAGATTTGAATCTTAATATTAATTATACTTAAAAAAAAAAGTCCTTTAAAATTCTTTTACCTCGAAAACTTATTAGCTAATCCTTGAATTTTCTCAAATCATAGTTTCTCTTTCTCATTATAACATCATCAATATTAAGATATGAACTAAGAGCACCTCCAGCGGCACGTTCTTAGTGTGTTGCTTACTGACAAGCAACGGTGCTTGTTAGAAATTGCCATTGGACTTATCCTACGTGGCAACTCAGTTGCTTAAATTTTTTTCTCAGTTGCTTGTACAAGGAATGGTGCTTAGCACTGAAAATTTTGAAGAAGAGGAGTTTGATTGGTTGAAACTGATCCAGGTGGAATATGGACAGAAACTTGGTAAATCAAAAAAACAGGAAAAACATCCTTCACCTCTTCTTCCTCCATCCGGCCGGTGCGCGGATCCGTCCGGCCAGACCCCTCCGCCCCGCGCACGCAGCTTCGCACAACCAGACCCGCCGGCCCGCGTGAACCGCCCGGTCAAACCCCTCCGCCCAGCGCACCAGGACTCCCGGCCCGTACGCCCCTCCGCGCGTGACCCCCTCCA